GGTTTCTCTAGGAGTTACAGCACATGGGGCTTGCTCATGGATTAGATGGAGTGAGAGAAAGAGAGGTGTGAAGGATGACTCCAGGGCTTTTGGCCTGAGCAAAAGGAAGGCATCATTATTTGAGAAGGGAAGGAGCTGAATTAGAAACAATTTGTTCCTCGATGAGATACAAAATCTCATGTGATTGCACTTAGGTATAAGGAAATTCTGGAGGTAAAGGAAGGCTTAACAATCAACTTTGGGTAGATTATGCAATAAGGGTGATACTGAGGTAGAGGGCTACATCTCATTTTATATTCATTAAGCAGTTGGTATAGAAAACATTCCACAGCCAAATCTGATAACTCTTAGATTCTGTAACTTCTTTCTGATCAGGGATAGGCAGAGATATGGGAAAACATGGATAAAGAGCTATGCAGGCAAAACTGAGTCACAGGCACCATATATCTTCATTATGAATGAGGGCAATAAAAGTTATTTTTGCAAAATTTTTAGTTTTTCACAAGGGCTACTTTTGTACTCATTATTGTGATTATTATATACAATGAATATTTGGTTCTAAGAAACAAAAGGAACTGCTGATGAAAAGAATGTGTACATGCTTGTTGAGCTGCTTAATAAATAACTATTTGATGATGATTCTGCAGTCTGTTTAAAGGGTAATTCTTCTTCTGTTGCTTTAGAGAATTCATTTGGCATTCTAAAAATGGATGTAATTTCAAGCAGTGGCCAAAATGTATCAATTAGCCTGACATCTAGGTCTTTTTAACAGACCTATAAATTTCCAATTTCCTTTGTCATCTTAACCATGGTAAATCATCCTGAACAAGATCATTCTTTTGAACAGCAGCCTCCTTATTGACTGAGATCAATTGAGATTAGAAAATGAAAAATACACTAGATGCTGAGAACTCTTTATGAAACCACAGTTGTAGGATGAGTATTGAATGAAGATAAGTGTGTTATTTTCAGCTTCTACATCATTGATTTAAAAATTTATTCTCTATATCCCATTGCTGGATTAAACACTAATATATATTTGGATGGTTTACTTGCTTACAAGTATTATCTTTTCCCTATTGAGGTTATGTATTAATGGAAGGGAATGATTTTTAATTTAAATGTATCTTGCTTTGCACACCACATGCATTTCTACACATTAAATTGGTTAAAACTGATTTTTTATTGAATTATAAATTAATGACTAAATCCTTTGTTTTAATTTCTGATTGATTTTCATTTCCTCTTTGTATAAAATACATGATGCTTAGTCCATCATGTGGACCCTATGTGATCAGGACTCTGCCTACTTTTAAAGGCAATCTTAGAGTACTGTCCTCTTCTGTCTCCAAACCCCAGCTACCCTGGCCTTCTTTCAAATCCTAATATTTCACACTCAAGATATTTGCACATATTGTCTAAAATTTTAGTTCTTTAGCCCTGCCTGCTTTATTACTTTCTTAATTAATTAATTGCCTGTCTTCTCCTACCTCAAAAGTAGACTCCAAAAAATACATGGATTTTAGTCTTTCTTTTTCACTGCTGAATTTCTAGCATCTAGAATTGTGTTGCGTATATAGTATGTACTCAGGAAAAATAATGAATGAATGAATGATTCTTTATCCTGGAATACCAACTTTCCTTCTCTACATCTAGGAAACTTCTATTCATCATCCAAATTCCAGCTTAAATGTCACTTTTTCCGGCCACCTTTTTTAAAAATTTATTTTATCATGTTTAGTTAGCCAAAACATAGTGCATCATTAGTTTAGAACTAACAATTCATTAGTTGCGTGTAACACTCAGTGCTCATCACAGCACGTGCCCTCCTTAATACCCATCACCTGGTTATCCCATCCTCCCACCCCACCTCCCTTCTGTAACCCTCAGTTTGTTTCACAGAGTCCAGAGTCTCTCATGGTTTGCCTCCCTCTTTGATTTCTTCCCAACCAGTTTTCCCTCCTTTCCCCTCTGACCCCCAGCGCTATTCCTTATGTTCCACATGAGTGAAACCATGTGATAATTGTCTTTCTCTCCTTGACTTATTTCACTTAGCATAATTCCCTCCATTTCCATCCATGTCAATGCAGATGGTAGGTATTCATCCTTTTTGATGGCTGAGTAATATTCCATTGTGTATATGAACCACATCTTCTTTATCCATTCATCTGTTTGAAGGACATCATGACTCCTTCCGCAGTTTGGCTCTTGTGGATCCCTAAGACAAGATCAGCTTTCTCTATTATTTGTTCTTACAGTTCTCTGTATGTCTAAGTTCTCCTTAGAACTTATTAGAATTTTAGCTTATAAAGTCTACTTTTTGTGAGATAATTTGCTTAACTCTTATCTTCTCCCCTAAACTATAAAATATCTCTATCTTTTTCTTTAAAAAGATTTTATTTATTTATTTGAGAGAGAGAGAGAAAGCATAAGAGCATGGTGAGGGTTAGAGGGAGAAGCAGACTCCCTGCTTAGCAGGGAGCCTGATGCCGGACTCAATCCCAGGATCCTGGGATCATGACCTGAGCTGAAGGCAGCCGCTTAACCGAATGAGCCACCCAGGTTCCCCTCTATCTTGTTCTTAATGGTCTTTCCAACATCTAACATAATGCCTGGAACAAAGGGATTCTCAATGCTCAATAAATATCTGTTAAATGAAAACATGGAGGGAAGGATGAGTAAGCAACTCCTCATTATAACTTTCAGTCCTCTGTTCCTCTTGTTCAATGTTCTCCCAACAAGAAGTAGTTGTTAGTGAACTACAAAAGAAAGTTTTGCTATACTGGAGAAGTTCTTTTCAAATATACCCCTCAGTGAATTCAATAATTCTTGGAGGATCCCTTAATGTTAATGCATCATACCAGCCTCTTCATCCCCCATTTTATTTAATTAAGTAAGTACTTAATGTGTTTCTCCTCTGGACTAAGCCACATAGAGGGAAAGAAGATCATGTAAATAATGAGAAGACCATAAGCTTAAAATAGATCTCTTACACTCTAACTGCCTGTGTGAGCTTGGCAAAGTTACCAGTTGAGCCTTTGGTTCCTTATCTGTCGAATAGAAATAGCAATATCTATTTCTTGTGGTTTATATAGGGGTTATTAATGATGCATGTAGTGTGCCTGCCACAAAGTAAGTGCTCAAAAGATGGCAGTTGTTACTACTATCACTAGAAGGTAAGCTCCTAGAAGGCAGATTATACTTACATTTCTAGTACCTTATATATAGAATACTTTTAATAAAGAGTGGTTTAACTAACCAGCAATGGGAACCATAGCAGAATATATGCTCCTTCTGAACTCTCATGGGGCTTAAAAGCTAAGCAGGAAAATAAGTTGCGAGACAGATTCATGAAATATTTAAATAATGAAATACAATACTTACTATATTTTATGATACATATGAGATTATAGTAACATATGTGTCACAGACCATAAGCGCTTTACAAGGCCAGGCAGGAAATGATCAGAGGTGGCTGGCTAGAGTTATTGGGAAATGATAAGTTCACATGTTTGTGTGTGTAAGATCTATACCAGTGAGCCTCCTGTGAAAATGTTCTATTTCTTTGTCAAAATTTGATGCTGGCTACACCAATGTTGGATAAAATGGATCAACCTGCTGCTTCTGTGTTACTATAATGGCAGACAAAATTGGGTTATTGATCGTGGGTATCACGGTGTCTTTGTTATAGTAATGGATGCTTTTTTCCCCTTTAACAATCAGTGGCTAGCTAACATCACAAATAGGTTCTGATGATGTTGGGTAATGTTGCTCAAATAGGGGTGTATTATGTGGGAGTATATACTAGCCCTTCAAAACTAGAACATAGGCTCAATTCCATATTCCATGTCTTTGTAGCATGCTCAGCACAGGTTTTCAGTTGTATTACATCATCCATAATCATTATCTACTGCTGTCCTTTCATCTTACCAAACTCTTTGCTTGCCGCTCTAATAAACGGGACTGAGATAGTGAGCATGAACAGAATGTTTCTTTTTTCTAGGATGCTCTCTCCTTTTTGTTCTTAGGTGTCTTTGTGAAGATATTCACAAACACAAGGGCATTCCATTAAAGGTTTGATACACCAACATCCACACTGAAAGCTTCAGATGCTTAATGACAGAATTGAATGCAGCAATCACACTCAGTCCTGACATTAGGAAAAGAAAGGAATACCATCTTTCACCCACTTCAAGCCATGTGAGGATGATCTAGAATCGATCCGCGCTAGCTGGCAGCCAGGCACACATCAGCCTGCCCGGAGTCTATATCTGCAGAGACAAGCCCAGTCAGACCAGTTGCTCCTAGAGTAAACCACTTGCCCACAGACCTACTTCCAAGTGTCAGACAAATGGCCTGGAAGCTCTTGCCTCACATAATATACAGCTACATGAACACACCTGAATATTCTCATTCACAAGGACGGAGACCTGAATACAGAAACACTGTGCTCGCCCACACTCGCAAGCAAAAACACATGTGTGGAATCAAGTTTTGTTTGTTTAATTTATTCTGGGTCGGTAAAGCACACTTTCAGGACTCAGAGGAGACCCCTAGGAAATTGGTTCGCTTTTCTGTGAGCCATTTGCCAACTAGTCAGTCTTTCAACCCTCGGTGTGTCCTCAGTGTGGATCAAGCGGCAATTTAGTTGCACTCTTGTCAATCTGTTCAACTCTTTCTTTCCCCCTGCTCTCCTTTAACTCCCAGAGGGCCGGGTGGCGCCGGCCGGGACCGGCACCTCCGACTCCAGTGCCCTCCCCGCCCCAGTCGCGCCGAGGGGCGGAGCCCAGCCGGCCGCCAGGAAATGCCCAGGAGTCTGTGTCACCTGCCCCCGAAGACTTGTTGATTCCCAGGAGCGTTGCCTTTTAGTTCTGCCTCCACCCCCGCCCTCCCCCGCCCCCGCACCGAGACCAGAGGACGATCTCGCTTACCTGCTACCCCGAGGCGGCCCGGGGAGCTCCTGAGACACTCCCGGGACCGCTCGCCCCTCAAATCCACAGCCATGAGCAAGTTGGGCAAGTTCTTTAAAGGGGGAGGCTCTTCTAAAAGCCGAGCTGCTCCAAGCCCCCAGGAGGCCCTGGCCCGACTTCGGGAGACCGAGGAGATGCTGAGCAAGAAACAAGAGTACCTGGAAAATCGAATCCAGAGGGAACTCGCCCTGGCCAAGAAGCACGGCACGCAGAATAAGCGAGGTAGGCTCGGGGTCTGGCCGCAGGAGTGAGCTCTCACCCTTCGCCTCCAGCGCTTTCCTTGGGGACAATCCGGCCCACAGCACCTGTTCCCCAGGAGGCCAGATTTACTCCCACAGCCTTTCTAGGAACTGGTATTGACCCCCAGGGCCAAAACTCGAGTCAGCTGAACAAGGCATAATCCTGGATGGCAAAATGTTTGGGAGTTCCAATGAGGCCGAACAACAAAAAAGCTCAGAATTAATTCAAAAAACGATAATGAACAAAATATCAAAATTTTAAATAAAGACAGAATCGGTATTATTGATTTTTTTTTTCTTTTTACCTCTGGCTCTTATGTCGTTCTACAAGGCACTTTTTTACTTAACTTTCTTTTTAAAAGTGATATTTTGTCCATCGTGAATTTTGTTGCATTATTTTTGAATTTTAAAAACATTAAAATATTATTTATCTTGATTACTGACTTTTTTGCCCCCCCCTTAAATTTGACTCCTGTCTTGCCTTACCCTAGTCCAGCCCCGCTGACCTCAAATATCAAGTTTTCCGTTGTGTGTTTATATATATTGAATCACACATTTTAACTTGCCTGGAAATCTCCAGTGAAGTATATTCTAGTATGTTCTGGTTTGCCTTGCTCCCAAGCCATTGACGAGTTTAGTTGGCTGTTCTGCAGTTGAGATATTATTAAAAAAAAAAAAAAGTCAGGGACCTAAGTATTATATTTCGTATCATTGGTTTTTACCATGCAAGGGACTTTGAACCAGTAAGAATTCTTGGTGCTCCTGTCGCACCTTGAACCCTTTGTTGTTTTCCAGAGTTAATTGGTTTTTTCAGTGTACTGCTCTCTTTATTGAGAATAGATGTAACAGCACAGTGACACGTATAAAAACCCAGGGAAAGGTTGAAATGATTTGGTCTTGTAACACTAGAAAAAAAAAGTGGTTTTGTAATGGCAGACTCAAATAGAAGCTGCAGTCCAGGACTCTGCCCACCACCTAACCCTGCACTTGCATCCACAAGTCAGGCTTCTTTAGTCATAACAAAGCCCTGGGAAGATTTACTTAGCCCTAAATGATGCTGCCATTGTTTAACGCAGGAAAGGAATAATGTCTTCTGGAGCTGACCTTGAAAACCCTGCTGTTTCCCATAAAAAATGTGCCTGATACATTTGTGTCCACTTACCACCAACGATAAAAAGGCCAAGTTTCATTTTTCTCTGCCGCTGCTCTGCTCCGACATTCTAGCCTGTTTTACAGTTAAATGCTGGTTTCTATTTTTACTTTCTGTCCGAAAATGTTTTGGGGAGCTATTTAATGGCAATTTCTAAAGAGATACCATGCCATTATGGCCTGCTAAAAAGTCATGGGCAGCTCTGCTTCCCTGTTCTTCCTCTTCAGTTTGATATGCACTCTGAAATTTGCATAATGTCTGTCAAGGGATGTCTCTCTGTCATCCTTTCGGGTCTGTATATCTCTTTATCTACAGTAAATACTGGTTTTAAAAAAATCTTAAAAATTGAACATCTGCTTCTAGGAAGTGGTGAAAATGTAGATTTGCTTTTGGAAGACAAAAATATAAGGTAATATACATTTTACTGATTTTTTTCAGAAATGTTCTCCAATTGGCAGTGCACTAAAGTATATATTACAAATTGGCTTTATTAAGACCCCCCAAAATTAAAGACAACATTAATTTAAGAGCATCAATCTAACTTCCTTAAATCAGAGAAGTAACAGATGCATGTATCATGTGCAAATAACCAATTGAGGTTAGAAAAGCCCCTTATTCTTTATCCTTTATCCTTGGGAACTTCACTGCTGTTAGCCCAGGCCTGGTTCTACAGTGGTTCTGGGAGTAGAAAGAGGCTAGTTAGCATGAGTTCATCTGTATTCTAAGCTATGGAAAGAACTCATTTACAGGCCCATGTATTAGAAACCCTGTCAATATCAGCATTTTCCAAATAAATCAGATAACTTCATATACACATAGTTTCTGTTTTCCACTAGCTACCAAGAAATACTTTCTTTCACATTCATAGTGTTATCGGGCCCAATATAGTTAGTACAAAATGGGCCTTGTGTTATACAAGGCTATATATTATACAGGACCGTATATTGTGCTATAAGGGCTGTAATTTATAATCTGAGTGACATAATATATGTGCAGTTAAAGTTTTACTTCTAGACATGGTTGGTCAGCTAGCATGCTGCCAAGAATAGTAGGTTGAATGGTCAAGTAGCATTGTATCAGAAAGGGCCACACTCCTGGCCACTACAAATCCTTCAGTGATCTATTTTTCTACAGCAGAAGTTTTGACAGCATTCTGAATGTCAAAAATGGGTTTTATTGGTAAAGCAAGTAACTTCTAAATTAGCATAATAAATGTTAGAAATGAAATCTCATTGGTGAAATTACAGATATTCTAAATATGTTGATTGGCTAAAATAGTTTAGAGACACCTCCTTGCTTCCCATTGTAAGAACAGGTGATAAAAATCTACGAGGTGTATAACTAACCTAACATTAGAAGGGAAGGGTACCTGAAGCTTGATCTTAGATCAGTGCCATGTCCAGTTCTTGGTTCAAGTGTATTTTTGACAGAGTGCACCTCCCACAGGGCTCAGCACCCTATCAGGGAATGTTGCTGCCTTCAATGAGCCTTTCATATGGGGTGTATTGGAGCTCCTGAAAGGATGTCCAGTCAGGACTTCATTGAGCTAATGGAACAAGCTAACAAACTGTTTTTCCTTGCCAGTGTATGTTTGTTTATGCAGAATTTAGTCTGAAACTTGCTGTTATTGTATCTCATACCAAGTTGGGCAGGCATAGCTAATTCTTACCTTAAACTTCTTTGGTAGTTACCGTAATCTACCAAAAAGAACCTGAGTGTGCACGACCAAATTGGCTTTGCAACACGCGTGATATTCAAGGCCCTGTTGATCTAAAAGATTAACACTTGGAATGAGATTTATAATTTGGTTAACAATTTTGGAGGTGGGGGGATGGGGTGACTGGGTGATGGGCATTAAGGAAGGCACTTGATGGAATGAGCACGGGGTATTATATGCAACTGATGAATCACTACATTCTACCTTTGAAACTAATAAAAAAATTTTCTAGTAGCCATGTTAGAAAAAGAAGAAAGAAAAAAAAATTGGAGGTCAGAGATTCTTTAAATGCAGTTTACGTAGATTACCCTTCATTTATAACTGGTCATCTGCTTTGTGGAAAAGCAAACTTTTTGCAAACGATTTAATCTTTTTCTTTTGAGCACTGTCATCAAGAGCAGTTTTCAATCCTGGCTGTATATTAAGTCACCCTGATGCCCAGGTCCCAACCCCATAGATTCTGATATAATTGACTGGGGTGGGGCTCAGGCACCAGTCTTTTTTAAAAAGTGCCCCCAGGGAGTGCCTGGGTGGCTCACTCAGTTAAGCGTCTGACTTGGGTTTCCATTCAGGTCAAGATATTGGGGTCGTGGGATCCAGCCCTTTCTTGGGCTCCATGCTCAGTGTGGAGTTGGCTTCAGATTCTTTCTCCCTCTCCCTCCCCCTCTGCTCCTCCCTGCTCACTCACTCTCTCTCTCTCTCTCAATCAATCAATCTTAAAAAAAAAAATGCCCCCAGGCGATTCTTCCCTGTGGCCAGGGTTAAGGATGGGGAACTTAAATCCATAGTAATGTTAACAAGCTAGGAATACATGGTCCTTTCATCTTGAAGTGCTTCCTGACTTTTTTTCACATGGCATCTATGGTGCTGATACTTGTGTCCTTCACTGGGATGACCAGGGACTAGCAGCCATTGTAATCACAGTAATTTTTTTTCAGCTGAAATTGGCTTCCTACTAAGTTCCACTTACTGGTCCAAATTTTGTTGTCTTCTGGAATAACGTAGAATAAATGCACTCCATCTATCATGTGAAGACCCTTCACATATTTGAGGACAGCAGTCATTTCTCTGTATCTCCTGTTCTGTGACCTCAACTCCCTCAGGCACTTCTCAGTTACCCCTTACTGTGCTGAGGTTTGCCTCCCAGGGCCCCCGGTCTAGGGGGAGGCGAGAGAGACCCCTAGCACACACCTGTGTGACCCTGAGAGTGATTGGCCTCTTAAATTTCCATCCTAGGTGCCTCTGTTCCTTACCTTGTCCTAGGCTGAGCAGGAACGTCAAATATGTAATTATATGGAGGGGCTGGATCCAGTCTGGGTTACCCATAGGCCTCAGGCTGTAGGAAGTGGGCTGAGCGAGATGAAAAGTTGAGACTAGGAAGGAGTGAATTTGCCCACAACCCTCCTCAGTATCATTATACATGATTCTGGTGAAACCTGGCAGCTGAGGCCCTTCCAACTCTTCATCAGGTAGCTGATGAATGAGACCCTAAGGCAGAGAGGCCTTTGTTTGAGTAAGCCAGCTCACTTCGAAGCCTGGGATCTTTTATTTCCATTTTTATTTTTATTTTTTTGGCAAGTCTGAATTTGTTTTCAGAGTCATGATGCAGACTTGGTCTTCCTTGGAGTTGGGGGTGTGAGCATGATCGCATTGTTTTAACCTAGTGTACAAACCTCCTGGTGCTCTTAAGTTTGCTTTTTATTATAGTCATCATGGAGTTGAATTCTTCAGTCTCAGACACAGGATCAGAAGGACTTCTGTATAAAAAGAATCACATCTGTGTCAGCTGGGTATCAGCTTTATTGCCAAAGTAGTCGGGGCAAAGCACGCATGGCTCAGGTAATAAGAGACTGAGGCAGAATGCAGAAGGCCCTGATGGAAGGAAGCTCCCTTGGGAGATATCACTTACCTGGTGACCTTCTTTCTTAAGAGAGTTTCTCAAAATGTGGCCCTCAGATCACCTGCATCAGAATTCCTTGAGGGTGTTTGTTAAAATGTGCACTCACAAGGACCCCCTCAAAGTTCTAACATAGTAGGTTGAGTGTAGGGTCCAGAAATCTGAACTTTGAACAGATAACACTGTGATTCTGATGCCCACTAAAGCTTGGGAACTGAG